CCTGATATATCCATCAAGATTATTATTTCAATGTTGAATTTGATTTTTTATTTTTTTTTATTTTTTTTTATTTTTTTTATTTTATCCTTGGATCTTGTGGTACATTTGGAAAGCGAGGAACGACAAGATCTACAACAGGAAAGAAATTTCCCCAGTAGATACCTTGATCCACGCCAAGGTTGAAGCAAAAAGTTGGAAGATTGCAAACCAACCAGAAGAAGTAGAGGATGAACCAGATGAGGCGCCACTCACTACTTTGCTCCGGAGTCCTCTACCCGATGTCGAGAGGTTATCGCTGTGTCAGGTTGATGCTTCCTGGATAAGTAACGGCCTGGTAAGTGGGCTTGGGTGGAGTTTAAAGGATGAGAGGGGTGGTGGGATCTTTGGCATACAGGGCTGCCGTAGAAGCCTATCGGTCCTTCATGCCGAATTGGAGAGTCAGTTATGGGCTATGTCTTGTGTGATAAAGAGACAAATCTTATCCGTTCACTTTCAGACCGATTGTTCGGATTTGGTAAGCATGTATGAATCTCCATCGGATTGGCCATCTTTTTCATTAGAGCTGGAAGCCCTTCGTATTCTTCGGGAAAGCTTTTTGGATTTCAATCTATCACATATCCTCAGAAGTTCAAATGTCCGAGTAGATAGTCTTGTAAAAGGAATTCGAGCAAGAGATAATATTTTCTCCCAAATCATTCATAACGAACCAACTGAGGATGGTTTTCGGACCAATTCCTTAACGGGCCAAATGTGATGTAATAGTTGGGTTGTGGAAAAAAAAACATAAAAAACACCATAAATCATTTTCAATCAACACGTACAACAATTTTGTCTCTCTCCCTTTCTCCCTTCTATAAACTATATAGCGAAAAATCATATGAGTATGTCTCATCAGTTCTTAACCAAAGGCCAAAAAGACAGTTTTATTAATGTGTTAGGTAGAGCTATGGGCCCTTTGTTATTACCAGATTAAAATTTTTTGGAGAGATATATATTATTTGAATTATTTTTGACCTAAAAAATCAATTTTTTTCCTCAAATTTTTGTCCTTCTAGTTAAAAAAAGAAGATTCTTAATAGTTAATTTGTCGACAAAATAAATAAATAAATGAAACAACAAAAAAAAAAAAAATAGAAGATGCTTTCCTTTTGGAGCTTTATGCAACGTTCTGGGTTTTAAAGTTTATTTTGGGTATAATCTTTTTTATTTGACTCATACCGAAGAAGAAGAAGAAGAGACTCAACCATTTTCACCATCGCCACACACACACTCTCTCTCTCTTCTCTTTTCCGCCGCCGCAACGGCCATAGGGTTCCGACCACTCGACGGTGAACTCTTTGTCGGTTTCAGAACCACCGAATAAGTAGAAACCTCGATTTTTTCAGATCTCCATTTCCCGAAATCGCATGTCAAAAAACTTCTTTAATAGTTTGAAGAACGCGACGAACACAGCTTCTCCAGCTTCGTGATTCGTTTCCAGGAGCTGCATTTTCTCCGATGTAAGCTTAATCAAGCTTTTCCGACTTCAAAATCAATCTTCGTTCATGTCTATGTGTGTCTCCTTGACTTGGGGATTATATGTTTTTGGTACTAATTTAAGGGTAGATTAGTGTGAATTTTTTGAAACTTATGAATGTTAATTTCGTTTCTATTTTGTCTCCGATTTTGTGTGTCGGCAAGATTACTTTCCCTTTGTTGTCTTTCCTAATTTAGTAAGATACTTTTTAGACGATGCATCTCAGAGTTTTTGGCAGAAGACCTTATCGTTTTTACTCATTCAGGAAATTTTCCCACATGTTTTCTTTGTCTTTTCCTTCTTTCGAAATCTTACTTAGGAATCATCAGATATAACATGAATTTATTAGGGTTTCGGATCTGGTCCTCTGAAATTTAAGCTCCTGATAAAACTCAGGTTATGTTGTGTGTTTTGGTCCTAGAAGTCTGTATTTGATTGATACCAAAGTTTAATTTGGTGAACATATCTCACTTAAACTCTGTGCTCATTTGTTTATGGAAATGGTTGATTTGTATATTTTTTTTAAACTCACAATGTGATTAATTTTATAGATTTTCTATGGACCGACGAAGTTGGCCTTGGAAGAAGAAGTCATCTGATAAACCAACCTTAGTGCTTGAATCTGCAGCTGATACTTCTCATTCACAAGTTGAAAAAGTAAAATTACTCTGCCATTGTGTTTGCTCAGTTTTAATTTTGATGGAAACTTCTATTTGTTGAATTGGTTATATATATTGGAAACAGGATGTTGTTAAGAAGCCAAAGTATGTGCAAATTTCTGTGGAGCAGTATACGCATCTCACGGGTTTGGAAGAACAAATAAAGACATACGATGTTCAAATCAAATCTTACGAGAGTCAAGTTGAAGCTTATGAGGAGAAAGTGAAAAGTTTTGAAGAACAGATTGAGGCGTATGATGAGCAGGTTCAGAGTTATGCTGAACAAGTGCAGACACTAAATGAGGATAAGGAGGACTTGACTGAGAAACTTTCTGCTGCTAATGAGGAAATAGCTACCAAAGAGACTTTAGTGAAGCAACACTCTAAGGTTGCTGAAGATGCTGTCTCAGGTACTATATAACAAATTTTTCTTTGCTACCACTTATTGTTTTACGCTGCGATTTAGACTCAAGTTTGTAGCTTTTTGTTGGTGCAGGTTGGGAAAAAGCTGATGCTGAAGCTTTGACTTTGAAAAACACACTGGAATCTGTTACTCTCTCGAAACTTACAGCTGAAGATCGTGCAGCGCATTTAGACGGTGCGTTGAAAGAGTGTATGCGGCAGATACGTAACTTGAAGAAAGACCATGAAGTGAAATTGCATGATGTTGCTTTAACCAAGACCAAGCAGATTGAGAAAATTACAATGGAGTTTGAAAAGAGGATCTCTGACTATGAACAAGAGCTATTAAGGTCTGCAGCGGATAGCGATGCCTTGTCCAGAACTCTACAAGAGCGGTCCAACATGCTAGTGAAAATCAGTGAGGAGAAGTCAAGAGCTGATGCCGAAATCGAGACCCTCAAGAGCAATCTAGAAATGTGCGAAAGAGAAATAAAATCTCTCAAGTACGAGGTCCATGTTGTTTCTAAAGAGCTCGAAATACGCAACGAAGAGAAGAACATGTGTATTAGATCTGCAGAAGTTGCCAACAAGCAACACCTCGAAGGGGTGAAGAAAATAGCTAAGTTGGAAGCAGAATGCCAGAGACTAAGAAGTCTTGTGAGGAAAAAGCTTCCAGGACCAGCTGCTCTTGCTCAAATGAAGCTTGAGGTTGAGAACTTAGGCAGGGATAACGGAGATGCCAGACTAAAGAGATCTCCCAGCAAGGCTTCTAGTCCGTGCAAGTCGCCGAGGGGTTATTCATCTTCTGGTTCTGACTTCTCTCTCGATAACTCACAGAAATTCCAGAAAGAAAATGAGTTTCTAACAGAACGTTTACTTGCGATGGAAGAAGAGACAAAAATGCTGAAAGAAGCGTTGGCAAAGCGCAACAGTGAGTTGCTGGAGTCACGTAATCTTTGTGCTCAGAGCACTAGTAAGCTTCAAAGCTTGGAAGCTCAAGTTCAGCAAAATAAGTCCTCACTTGCAGTGTGTCCAAATCTGAATCGATCAAGTTCAATCTCTGTTTCTGAAGATGGGAATGATGATTCTGGAAGTTGCAGTGAATCTTTGTCAACAACTCCATCACAACAGACCAAGAAAGATAAAGATATGACGGCACTTGAAAGAGTTGAAAGTGTTAGTAGTCATGTGGAGCTTATGGATGATTTTCTTGAAATGGAGAAGTTAGCTTGTTTGCCTAACCAATCTAGCGGGAATGGTAGTATGGATTCCAAAGAATGTTCAGGTGATCAAAAGTCAGAACTGGTGAGTGTTGAGGCTCATACCAAACTTGAGGAGTCTGATAAAAGTAGTCCGGCAGAAATGGAATTCAGATCTCGATTATCAAAGATTCTTGAATCTGTATCTGCTGATTCTGACCTAAGAAAGATTGTAGGGGATATAAAATGCATTTTGCATGATGTGAATGGTTGTCTGGACCAGGACAAGCCTTCTGATGTGCAGGTTCATCCTGAAGAAGAGGCTGCTTTATGTCCAGAACAAAACTCGTTGGAGGATTGTCATTTGGAAAAACAAAAGCTGCAGGGCGTCAACCAAGATTTAAAAAATGCTGTTTCTCGGATTCATGAATTTGTTTTGTTGCTAAGAAAAGAGTTAAGTGCAAGTCAGGACACTGCTATTGAGGGAAATGATTTCGTTGAACTAATTGAGGGCTTTTCCATCACGTTCGACCATGTTTTAAGTGGTGAGAAAAATTTGGACAGTTTTGTTTCGGATCTTGCTAATGTCTTCAACGAGGCCATGGAGCTAAAGGTAAATTTTAGGGGTCTTGCTTCCTCCGAGGTTGAAAATGTGAGTCCAGATTGCATAGATAAGGTTGCATTACCCGAGAGCAAGGCTGTAGATAAAGATCCATCCAAAGAAATATATCAAAATGGATGTGTCCACAATGAGGCAGAGGTTCCATGTGATGAAAACAGAGTTTTGGAGTATGAATCAGACTCCAAATTACAGGAAATAGAAGAACTGAAATCAGAAAAGGAAAAAATGGCAGTGGATATCGAGGAGCTGAAATTTCAGTTACAAGAATCTCAGCAGCTGTTAGCTGACGTAAGATCACAGTTGGATTCTGCTCAGAGGTCAAACAGCTTGGCGGATACACAACTCAGATGTATGACTGAGTCATATAGATCACTTGAAACAGGTGCAGCTGATTTAGAGATCGATGTGAACGAGCTTAAGCAAAAGGTACGGAATTTGGAGAATGAGCTTGAAGATGAAAAGCGCAAACACCAAGAAGCTATTGTGAGGTGCCATGAACTCGAAGAACATATTCAAAGGTTAGTAGACCTTGAACGTTCCCATTTCCTGCACTTCCAGTGATCCAGTTTAGTGTTAAGTAGCCTATTCACTTACGTTTTACGCGTATATATTTTCACTTTCTCCTAGAAACGCAAACACTTCTCTGGTTGCTGAGGATGAGGAAGAAGATGATATCAAGACCAAACAGGTAATGTTTCCGCAATGGTTCCTCAGTATTTCAATGCCAATCACGTTTTGCCTCAAATATTTCAGCATTTCGATATAAGCTGAACTGAAGCTAACAACTTTCTGCATTTTAATTCATAGCTCTTGATTCTTGATCCAAGTGAATTTGAAAAGAAACTCATTGCTCATATGTCCTCCTCTTATTCAATGCTAATTGTTCCCAACACTACATGCAATCAGTTTAGGTGCATATACATATTTAGCCACACAGAATCACACACATCTATGGACTGTGCACGCGTTGATTCCTGAATACTTAGGACTTTGAAGGTTTGAGTAAAAGGTAGAGAGAGGAAACAAAAAAAAAAAAGAAAAAGAAAACTGAACATAAAAA